TTAACCTTCTCATGAATGTCTTTGATTTGGTCAGCTAAATCTTCTGCCTTGCCACAAAATTTCCCTGCATGAGGTATAGGAGTCAAATATAGCACACTGCTTAGATTATATCCATAGACAACTTCAAATGGGCTCTTCTGAGTAGTTCGATTCTGGGACCTGTTGAAAGCAAATTCAGCTTGAGGTAAAGCCAAATCCCTCTGCTTCGGCTTGTTTCTTGCCGAACTGCACAATCCCAAGCTCTTATTCTGTTTGACCATCAGTCTGTGGATGATATGCGTTGCTAAAACATAACTCAATTCCCATCAACTTCCATAGAGATCTCTAGAAATGACTCGTGAATTTTGTATCTCTGTCTGAAGTGATTGACTTTGGAATGCCATGCAATGGAACAATCTCTTTGAAATAAATTTTTGCAATATTAGAAGCATCCATAGTTATCCTGTAGTGAATAAAGTGTGTCATTTTAGAGAATCTGTCGACCACCACAAACACTGAATCCACGCCTCTCTGTGTTCTTGGTAACCCCAACACAAAATCGATACTGATATCCTCCCAAGGTGCAGATGGCACTGGTAATGGAGTATAAAGTCCTGTATTCTCCGCATTTCCTTTGGAGACTTGCCAAATGTAGCATCTATCTACAAATCTATCAATGTCATGCAACATCTTGGGCCAAAAATAATTTTGACACCAAGGCCATGGTTTTGTCACGACCTAAAGTGCCCTTCATTATGTAACTCCCTAAGGATCTTATCCTGTAGTGAGCAATCTGGTGTACATAGTCTCAAGCCTCTGAAGAGAAAACCATCATGCACAAAATAATCATCACGCTTTTCTGTTAAAACTTCAGTAAAAATTGCTCCAAATTTAGAATCATCTTGGTACAACTCCTTGAGAGTATCAAACCCCACTACATTCACCTTCATAGTGTTAAGTAGCGTGGCTCTCTTGCTGAAAGCATCAGCTACCCTGTTATGAACACCTACTTTATGCTTCAAGGTAAAAGTAAACTCCTGCAAGTAAGACACCCATTTAGCATGCCTTCTATTGAGTTTGTGCTGGCCATTGATGTATTTAAGAGCGTCGTGGTCCGAGTAAAGAATAAACTCACTCTGCTCCAAATAATGTCTCAAAGTCCTCAGTGTTTGTACAATTCCTCATGGCCATTGATGTATTTTAAATGAGTCTTTATTTTATTTTATTTTAGAAGGGATAAGTCTTTATTTTGGTAGGACTTTCTACCTCTCGTTTTGTATGCGCCATTTTTATTAATAGATAAGTTTTGGAGTTTTCCTTTAGAGGGTATGTCTTATGTGATAAGGACAAGACTATCTACTAAGGAAAGGATAGTGTTTATTAGAAGGGCAAGGAGTGCGTTGAATTAATTGATAAGGCAGTGTTCTATGAGGAGATAACGCCTACCTTAATGGCAAGGGTGGGGCGTGCTTTCTATAAGAACAAAGGTTTGTGCTTTGTAAAGGACAATTGGTTTTGACGTGAATAACAAAAGCTTTTGCTTTAGAGAGCGTAGAGAGAGAGAGAAAAGTGGCCCTTGTGGTTTGTTTTTATTTACCGCTTATGCTTGTGGGCCGTGCCGGAATACTTCGATCTCCACGTTTTGTTCTTTCTTCTAGTGATTCCCTTCTCGTTTTTATTTTTCTCTCAAAAATGCGGTTAATTTTTGCCGGTGTTGTTTGCCGGTAATTTTTTATTGCGTCAGCATGTGAGGATGGGTAGGTTTTACAAGGGAAACCAAGGACTGGACCATGCTCACCTTTAAAAAACTAAGCCTTAGAAACGAAGATATTTGGATAAAATATTAGATTTAGACTTTAGGAAAGAGGATGTAAAATTTTCTATGGACAGAAAGGTAGACATGTCTGCCTAAAAAGATAAAGAGGATTTGTAAATACGAGCAATGATCAAGTGGCTGTAGAAATCAGGACTTAATGGCTAAAAATAGGCAAAAAAATACTACTTCCGCTCACAAGGTTGCTAATTTTGGGAGAGAAAATTCAATTGGACTCAATTACGTGACAAGGACAAGAGGAAAACATTGGGGTTGCAGAGAAAATAATTAGATGTTTTAGAGAACCATTGTTTTAAAATGTGGGACGTGGACCCGATACAGTCAGCGGGTGATGTGGCGATGCAGCTCGATGTAGTCCTGGTGCGGGTGAATCATCATAGATGCGGTTATTAAATTTAAAAAAATTCTAAAAAATATCGTAATGCATAACAAAACATAGATGTGATTTGTGTTATTGTACGTATTTTAATTTATTCATTAGCTCTAATATATTAGCTGTCTGAGACTTTGAATCCCCTACTTGCCTGATAAAGAGTAATAGAGTTGTTGCTAATCTTTTATACCATTAACATCTAGCATGTAAAACAAAGCAATCTATTCCGTCTCAATTAACATGTCCAAAATTCCAAACTCACATAAACATCGAAAATTTAAATTTCAAACTCGAAAGATCCATACAACCACGGACAGTTTCTGAAGACGTAAAAAAACGAAAGATAATCAACTCTCAAGTTTCAATCTCAACTGTCAATCAGATAAGGAACTTCTGTTAAAGGTGGGTAGAACCTAGATGTGGGACTTATTGCCCATGAGTTTCTCAAGTCAAGGCTTATGAAGTGGAGATTTAGTATTGTTGCTGTTGAGGTAGAGATGGAGAGAGCCTATGGTCGTATTGATTGGAACACTTGGAATATACCATAGGACATATGGGACTGAAGAACCTATAGAGAAGGTGGATAATAAAATGTGCATTCCTAATTATTATAAATGACTAATCTAACCTGTTCTTTTGAAGTTTGTGGGGCCTTAGGAAGGATTGCTGTGTCCTCTTTCCTGTTCATATTTGTCTCAGATGCCCTCAACCATTTTTTTTTCTCAATGGGAATGTTTGGTCTGACCTTTTGGTAGTGGTTGTGCACCATTTTTTGCAAATTGCATAATACTCCACTAGGTCACAACCCTTCCATTTTACAACTTAAAAGATGAATCTTAGATACTATGAGCCCATGTCTAGATTAAGAGTTAACATCAGTAAACGTGGTAAAAAGGCCAGTGGTTGTGCCCCATGTTGTGCAAATTGCATAATACTCCACTAGGTCACAACCCTTCCATCTTACAACTTAAAAGATGAATCTTAGATACTATGAGACCGTGTCTAGATTAAGAGTTAACATCAGTAAACGTGGTATGTAACAAATATGATATGAGGGACCCAAGCTAAAGGAGCTGAGTGATAGGTTTGAGTGTAAGGTTGAAGCTTTACCCAACAAGTATCTTGGACCACCGATGTGTGTGGTATTCCTCAGAAATGATTGTGGGGATTAGTGGCTGGAAGATGTTAATGCAGATAGCACCATGGAGGAGCTAACACATATCTCTTTGAAGGTTCATCTTGTCAGCATATAGCAGCTTCCCGGTCTCTGATTTATGCCCTTACTTCAAAGCCTTAGTCGGGGTGGCAGCTAAACTTGAGACTTCAAAGTGATTTCCTATTAAGACGCAGTTGTGAGTTTCATAAGTATCATGATTGAAGGAAAATCACTTCTCAGCTTTTTCTTACGTATGTATCTCTATAGCTTGATATATTGAGAATTCCAACCTGATGTTCTCACTACCTTCCCTCCCAAAGAAAAAGTAGAAATATCTAGACTGGATTAATTGGGCTTCATATCTTCTAGGATCTTTTTGATCCATCACCTGTTGAAAGTGAAACCATAAGGAATGCAGTTCCATTCTCAGAATATGTATACCTGACAGAATCATGCTCTTGTTGCTGGGGGCGATCATTTATGGGGAGCCTAGGATTGAGGGGCACAGGCTGCAAAATCATTCGAAAAGGAAAATGTGTAAAAAATAAAAGGTCTGGCGTATTGTCTGGTTCTCTCTCTCCCTCTCACTCTCGTAATTTCTTAGACATTACCTTTTGGGCAGTTCAATTTAGCATGTGTTTATGCAAGATCGATTGGGTCTATTCTTTCATTATGCAAAAGGCTTTGAGGCTTTTCTGAAACGTCAGTTTTAACCAATCGAATAAACGAAGAAAACATCTGCATATTAGCAGCTTAACCGTAGCAATACATCAACTAGAAGTAACTGTATGTTGTATTTGGTCTATTTATATTTCCTTACCTACTTATAGGTAGGCATGGACTTCTTAGAAAAGGTGGTGAGAAAAGGTGGTGAGAGATCAGGCTGTTTATCTCATTTCCTTATCGTCTATCTAATACTCACTGTCATATAAGAATGTTGAAGATGATTATCAGGGAACTCCTCTATCGAGATTTGGGATAATATATGGTTCTTTGCTTTACAATTATTATTGGAGAACTGCGAATAGCATTTAGCAGTTTTCTACCCATTTGGTGTTTTTCATTATTTCGATATTAATTTTAGCTCTGCATGTCCTACCAAAGTACAGGTAATCTGTGGGAGATGAGGTGCCTCACTTCTTAATATATCTGAAACCTGCTTGTGGAGTAGTATTAGAATTATATAATATTGTATTCCTTCTTATTTTTGGTCTAAGAAGGGTGCAGACCTTAAACTTTCCCTTAATCCGTTCCCAAGCTCGGGTAAAGGAGGTGGATTGTGTTTGGTAGGCAGTCAACGTGAAACTTTACCAAAATTTCCATGAATCCTAAATCTTTAGGATTCTTGTGGCTGACCCCAAATAGTTGGGAAAATGCTCTGATGATGATGAGTTTTCAATTTTCATGTACATGTGCTGTAAATTCCTATGTTGGACTGTTTCATACTTGAAAATAAAATCCATTGTTATTACTGTCAATGTTCCACATTATATAATATAATGAATTGTGTGTTGAACCATAAGTTCCACTTTTACTCCTCTTAGTCTCATCTCCTTATATTGCTCTTTTTTCTGCCTTTCGCTCTTTAGCCTTTGTCGACCTTCCATGAAATACGATCTCTAACACTACATTTACCCCTTTTTTAATGTAATTTTCAGGCACACTTGGGCTCAATGACCTTGTGAAGACAATATCAAAGAGATTGCAGGAGCCACTAGTAGAAGGCCAGGAGTTGAATGGGAAAAAAGGAGAAGCTATACATCCATGCAGGATATTGAAGGTTTTTGAAAAGGCTGAGAATGGTTCAACCAGAAAATCCTATGAAGTTGGGTGGCTTGATAAAGATAACAAAGTAACTGATAGATCTGTAGAGGATGCAGAGAGTCTAATATGGAAGAAGCAGCCGGTTAGTAGAGATTTAATTAAAGCTTTTATTAGAGAGTCAACTTCTCGAAGTGCTCCATGGATGGTCCATGAAACATTGGCCATGGAATATGGAATACCAACCAAGCCCCCCGAGGAGTTAATTGGCAAACGAAGCTTGCAGAATGAGCATCAGAATTGCATTAAGAAAGAAAAAACTGTGAGCCATTGACTTTTATTCCTATTATTTGCATATATGTTCGAATGTGTGGCGTTTTCTAGAATCAAGGATAGCTCCTGCATATGCATGTCTACGGGTCTTTGTTATTGAAACTATGCAGGAACTAAATATTGTAATATTCTGGGACCGAAAATGTTACAGTTTCCAGCATTTCATTTTCTTGATGACTTTTGCTTATATTTCAAGACTTCTGCTAGATAACTCAAGTGGGAAAATGATAATTTGGTCACGATATTCCATCTAATGTATGGTTTCTCATGTTTATCATATTCAGGATGTTAGAGATGGAAGCCTTGGTAAGAAAAAGAGGTTAAAAGAGGAACCTGAGAGCTCTAAAGTCTTGCAAGAGATAAAAGCAAAAACAGGTGATTGAAATGATTGTTTCTCAAACTTGAATCGGCCTTAGTTTGCTGGAACGTTTAGGTAATATATAAGTGAAAATGAAGGCTGACATGGTATTTGACTTTGCAGCACAAAAATTTAATGTGGAGAGAGAAAGAACAGTAAAAGTAAAAAACAGCATACAAGAAGGAAAAGATGGAAAAGCAGGTAGTTTAATTTGATTGTCACCGCATATATAATTGTTGGCCTTTTTTTTTTTTTGAAAGACATCATTATTGGTAAAACTCACTCTTGAATCTTCCACTGCTCTCCACTATCTTTGTTGATGATCAGTGATCTAAAAGTCTCACTTGTTCCTAGATTTTGCGGAGGAGAAGAAACCCAGAGTGTATAAGAGAAAAAGGATAAATGAAAAGAGCGAGAGCCTTGAAGGACTGCAAAACTCAAAAAATGAAGAAACCAAACCTGGCAAGGAAGAGAAAGAAAGGATGAAAGAAGAAAATGAGAATATTGAGGGATTGCAAAAGGTGAAGAATGAAAAGAAGAAACCCAAAGTGGAAAAGAAAAAAGGGAAAAAAGATGATGGTGATAATCCTGAAGGATCGCAGAAGATAAAGAACGAAGAGAAAAAACTAAAAGGGGAAAATAAAAAACGGATAAAAGAAGAAAGCGAGAATGCTGAAGGCTTCCAGATTTCAATGAAGAAGGATGAAAAGAAACCCAAAGTGAAGAAGAACAGGATAAGAAAAGAAAATCAGATTCCAGAAGGATCCAAGGAGAAAAAGAAATTAAAAACTGGTGATTTGAACATTCAAATGATTATCTTTGTATTGATAAATGTTGTTCATTTTTACACATTTGACTTAGGCATACATGGTCTTTGAATCTGCAGAAGAAAAGAAAACAAATGTAGAAGTAAAGATGAGCGAAGAGAATGAGTACTCTAATGGATTGCCAAAGCAAGCGAAATTCATAGGTAGGTTCAAGTGATTGTACCATTTCTTTATCATGAAATGATAGTAGTGTTGCTAGTAATTGTTGGTCATTATCTTGCTTGAATTAATCCCAAAATTTCTTGGGGCATTTTTTTCATTTATTATTTCAAATATTTGATTTTGGTGAGAAAATATAGTTGACTTGTGGTCTGACTGAGGTTATGGCCCTCGATAGAATATAATGGAGGAACAAGATAAATGTAGCTGGCCCTAAATAGTTGAGATAAGGCTCGGATAATGATGATGATGGGTTCAAATATTTGATTCCAATGCCTTCTCCATTCTCTCTCGCTCTTATGTTTTTCTTCTCATACGTGGTCCTTACATTTGCAGAACGTAAAGCCATTAAATACCCTATTGAGGACCTCTTAGTGCAACCTGATGAAGATGGTCCAGTTTTTATTGATCAACCCACTCCAACAAGGGATTTTGCGGTGCCTATGCATTGTGTAGGAGACCTTCTAACGGTTTGGGACTTCTGTTCATCATTTAACAGAAGTCTGCGTTTGTGGCCTTTCACTCTTGAAGACTTTGAAAATGCGATCATGCATCAGGAAAGCAATCCCAGCATTATCGTAGAAGCTCACTCTTCAATTCTTCATTTACTTATTGAAGAGAAAAGAGAGTACTACTCTATGGTACAGAAAAGAAGGCGGAAAGCAAAGGTAAATTCTGGATTTCTCTTTAGGAAAAGCATATGAAATACAATGGAATCCATAGTCCATTGGAGTCATCACCATCCAATGAAATGAGGAGTGTTGATAGGGAGAATAGGACCTACCTGTAATGGCCATGACCTCATTGGTGTGTCCCATTCTCTGTCTATGACCATCCAGTTTATTGGGCAGTGATTATACCAAATGACTGTTGATTTTATTTTCATAGTCTATTTTGAGATGGTTTTCTTCCCAATCTAACTCCCACTTCCCATTCCCAACATCTGAATTGTCCTATATTTTTAAAATTTTCTAATTATTGAACAAAAGGCGTGTAATGAACAAATATACCTACCAATAAAATAAAAAAAATGGTTATCGATCATTGCTGGATGAGGGTAATTCCGTATTCAATTTAGTTCGGGATCTATCTGGAATATTCTTAGAATAACTTTGACTTTTTTCTTATTTTGTTAAACTGAGACTTCGAAGTAGTTTAAATATGAAATATTGTATCTTTCAAGAAAAAAGATATGGGCACATTTATTCCACCTTTTGAGACAAAGATTCCAAATAAACTGAACAATATAGTTTTAGAAATATTCTAGTATTTTCAGACAACTTCGAAATTGATGCTTTCTTCTTCAATGAAAAGGAAAAAGGCATTCTTATTAGATGTGTAATTTAATCTCTAGAACGGTAAATCGTTTCCTGAATAACTTATGATTTGAAAGGAAGCTAAACACTACTAACTGTTTAGAGACAAGAAACATTATGGCATTAAAGAATAAATAAACGAAACAAATGAAAAGATAACTTGATCGTATTATGTTGGGACAGGATTCAACAGGTAGAATCTAAAAAACTTGTCGGTTTAGGACGAAATAAGAAAGGAAAAGCTTATCTAAGGGTGAGGCCCTAAACAATCAAGTTGAGGCGCACCTCAAAAATTCTCCAGAAGAGGTTATTTCGATGCCCAAAAGTCCTCAAATTGATCATCTCAACCTCAAGAAGTATGAATGTGAAAAAAAATGGATTTCAAGTCTTGGAAAAAATATATTTTGTAATGTATTGTCCGGAGCGTCAATTTTCAAGATCATCAAGTGTTCATAGATCTGCTTTATTAGCAGATGTACATTATTTTTTAAGCTTTAAATTTTATAATTAGAGATGAATATAAATTTTCAGACCATCACAAAGATTTCCAGCACTGAGATAACATCTTTCGACACTATTTCAAGTTGCATCTTTCTTTGATTGTTTTGGCCCTCTGCCTTTTACAAACCACACTCAATAAGAAATCCTTTGTTAATTAATATTTCTTGCTCAATTACTAATTGTTGCCTTCTTTGGGTGTGTGGTTGTATACAGAGGCTTATTTACTCTTTCCTTCTGTTTGATTTTGCTACTTAGATGACATCTATGAACTGGAGTGAATACTTATACGACTTTTTAGAGATGGAAAATGGACCAAAGTTTACTCAGCAGGCAGAGACTATAAAAAGGGGGCACTATTGTGCTCTGAGTGTTCATGATAAGTTGCAAATTCTTCATGAATTGGTCGACCATGCTCTTACAACTGATGCCATTAGAAGCCAGTTGGATAAATACATTGAGCAACAGCAGAGCCTTGCAGCTTCTCAAAGAGAGGAGTTCAAAAAGAGGAGGGAAGTGATTCAGGAACTACAAAAACAGCTAAAGGCAGGATCTGAGACGAAGGAAGGACTGAGAAATGATGATTGTAATGGAAAGATAGACAAATTGAACAAACAAAATGGAGAGAGAGAAATACCAAATGGTTTTGAGCTTAAACATGCTAATGGGCACATTAGAAATGGTTTAGAAGGAAATGAAAGGGGTATTTCAGCAAGCAACGATCAAGATTTGCAAGGCGGGTATGCATTTGGGCAATGTCCTTTTTGATATTCCATTAAGATGGTTCAGTTCTGAGTTGTTATGTACGGGCTTTCTTTTAAGTTTATATTGGCTGAGTGATGAATTTTTCTCTTGGAACTTGGAGACTTTAGAATTAATCTGTGCCACTTTTGGTTTCTTGTCCTTGGGTAGACCTGCAGATGATGAGAAAAGAGATTCAACCCAGATGGAAGAGCAGCAGGTGCAAAATAAAGAGAAGGTCAAGGCCAAGAAAAAAGAAGAGCAGAAACTTATAGAACAAACAGTAAGTTGAAGCTTATTTACCTCTTTCTTTATCTCCCTTCCTCCCTCCTCTCTCTCTCTCACACACACTTGCGCACACTCATTGTTTATGAATTGACAGAAGGCACACTTTGAGAGGGAGAAAGAGAAGCGATTTATACGAACCAATCCTTTAGGAAAGGACAGAAACTACAATAGGTACTGGTTTTTCCGACGTGAAGGAAAAATTTTCGTCGAAAGTTCAGATTTCAACCAATGGGGCTACTACACTTCCAAAGAAGAGGTGATACATGTTTTCCTTGTCCTTCAACACATGTACAGCTTACTTCATTGCTCCACCTCTCTCTCTCCCTCTCACTCTTTCCCTGTCTGTCTCTTTCTGACACTACTCACTGACTCATCAATCCTTTTTTATATCGACCAGCTTGACAGATTGATGGGATCACTTAATCCCAAGGGGGAGAGGGAGAGGGCTCTTCAAAGGCAGCTGCAGAAACGTTATTGGAGAATATGGTTGTTCTTTCTTCATTATTATTCTTATGGTTCCTAAGCAGTCACTTATCCCATCCTCGGCTAATTAATGCTCTGGAGGTTTTCAGAATTTAATTTATTTATTTATTTAGGAAAAGGAAATCTTTAAAGAAGAATTATAAAAAGGAATAGTTAATGGAGGATCTCACCTAAGGAATTTAAACTGAAAAATGGAAAGAGAAATTTACTTCTCCCAATTTATATGCTTATTACCTTTCATATTCTATAACTCGACTTATTGTTACAGATATTTAAGTTTTACGTTTCTTGTAAGTGTGTGTTTTTGTTGAGCATAGCTTTCTCTCACAAAGTAACTATTGAAGAATAAAAAATATAGAAGAAAAACCTTGTCACATAAAGGAAAAAACAATTTTGAGAATAAATTCTCAATCTTTCATTGAAGAAAGGAGGCTTAGGTCACTTCTATTGAAGTATATTGGGGTGTCTGCATTGCTTCCTTTACTATGAATTTCTTATGTATCTCTCTTCCATGCTTTATAGTGCTGCATTGGCAAAGAGATCAAGGGAAATTGCTTATAGGATTGCTCGAGAGGAGGCCACATTGCGCCGTTCTATACGTGTACGAACCCAACCAAAGGATCGCCAAGGATTGTCTTTCCTCCGGTATGTAAACAAATGGAGGGATGATTAATTGGAGGAGACTGGATTTTTGAGCTCTCTTCCTTTTTGTCCACCTACTTCTCTTGTTTCATTTATTGATGCATAAACACATTACATGCAATTTTGGTTTAGACCTACCCTCAAACTGATCGAGGTGCTCCTTTGTATAGAGAAATGAACCCTCTAACCTTCCTTTCTTCATCTGTTGCCTGCAAAAGTGGGAAAAAATGTACGAATTTTGGAGTGTAAAGAGGTGATAATGTACATCACTTTTTGTAGCTCTACTCTTATCTTTAGAAGCCTATGTATTAACTTTTCCATTTCTATTCACTCCTCGACAATCCAGTTGTATCAACTTTCCCATCTCTTTTCTCTCAAAGCATGCAACTTGGCTGAAGTGAAACAAGGTTTGGATGCATTTTAAGAGATTACAGAAGTAGGTGTCTTTACGGTTATATAACAGTAACATCTGATCTGTTATAACAGATAAAGGAAATGAATTAGAAAAGGAAAAATCATGTGGCGGGCATTATTTAGAATAACAGATATAACCAGGTTATGACATAAAACATAAAAAATAAAACAAAAGGTCATGACAGATATAGTGAGCTTTATATACTAATAATCAAATAAATATTTAATGTATTTTTTATAAAAAAAAGTATAGAAAGCGACTATTTGTTTTTAGGAAAAGTATACAATGAGACTATTTATTTTTGGTACAAGGTGGTTACAATTAATCTTGATTATTGGGTGACTGCATTTATAACATTGACCAAAATCAAAGTTCAATAAAAAAATTTTCGAACTTTGTAACATGCTCAAACTATTAGATTTCACATCTGACGGTTGCAAATAATTGTGACCTTTTTGTACTAAAGATAAATGGTCTCAATGTATACAATCCCTTATTTTTAATACAAGGATTTCATCCATTAGATTTAAAATTAGGTAATTGTGAGTGTATTATTTGACCAACCTCAAACATCAAAGAGATTTTCTTGAACTTCATAACAAATCCCAAGTTAACCAATTTGATATCCAATGGTCTTATAGTATATAATCCCTTTTTATAAATAGCAGTATGGTATATATAACAGAATTGGTGCACACAAATAACCACAAGATGATTTTTCTCCAAAAATTGGAAGAATGAACACCGTTCTTTTAATAATGAACATCATTCTTTTAATGTTCTATGGCGTAGGCATTGTTACTAGTCTAATGTCATATGTTGTATTTTACTGACAGACTGAAATGCCTTCCACTAGACGTACATCACTTTTTAGATTGCTGATGCTCTATGAGCATATTGATAATTTCCTGAAATGACAAAAAATCCTTTATTTTTTGCCAAAAGTGTTTGTGTTTCATAGATAAAAACCCTATCTGGGAGTTTAGGACCCTAAAATTTGGGATGTAAACTCTTCAACCCAGTGACCGACCTCAAACAGAAAATTAAACAAAAAAACTTATACAGTCTATATGTGCCTGTAAAAAAATAATTTTCAGTTGAAAAGAGACTGCCCAATCTTTTGAAGTTTAGATATGAATGTTTAGAAATTCAGAGTCCCCCTTTTTTCAAATACTTATGCTTGTATACTTAATCTCTAAACTTTACATTAGAAAATACACTTTAAGCGGATTTTTTACCTTATAAAGTGTATAGCATGTCCCCAGTAAGCATGTCCTTCCTCAAATGACTCGTCTTTCACCATTTTTTATCTTATTTATATAAGGATGCGATTTATATGAGCTGTTAACCTTAAACAATCAAAGTAAGATGCAATTTTAAACCTGGTCAGAAGATGCATTGTTTGGTTTTGGAGATTCTTACAATGGCCTGGAACTATGTTTTCAATTTATTCTCAGTCCTAATTATGAAATTTAAAGTTCTAAAATAGATGCATATAAAGCATATCTATAAAACTTGAAATTCTTAAAACTAGATGGTCCAGATAATACGTTACACGATGATTATTTTTGGGATTTGAAATTGTTTTCGTTTTCTTTTTGTATCCATACTTCTTGCAGTCAAGATGATCAATATGAGGGTTATGTAGCACTGAAATAACTTCTTTTTTTGTTGTATTTTCAGCTACGCTTTACGTTCATTTCTTATGCGCTGCTTAATTTATGTAATCATTAGTCTAAGCTAATTTAAATTAATTATTCAATCTACTGGTATGTGGGGCATTTGGTCTAGTGGTATGATTCTTGATTTGGGTGCAAGACGTCTCGAGCTCGATTCTCGAAATGGCCCCCCTTGTTTTTACTTTTCATGGTTTTAAAGACCATTTTTTATGAATCACATCACATGCCTCTTGCTTTTATTTTCCATGAAAACCAAACTTCAATATTGTTGATGGTTTTATGATTTTAAAGACCATTTTTTATGAATGTCACATGCCTCTTGCTTTTACTTTCCATGAAAACCAAGCTTCAGTATTATTAGTTGATGGCCCCCACCCCCCTCTCTTATCTCTCTCTCATGTATGCTTGTGGGATGTGCTATTTAAATTCAGTTTAATAATACCAGCATGACTCATTTCACATGCCATGCCACATTTATGTACTCAATGTTATTCAAATTGGCCATCACCTCCAAAACTTCATATAGCAAATTCTTGGCTACATTTTTACTTAAATAATATCATTTCCCCAAAATTTGACTAGGGGTGGCAATCGGGTCAGGTCAACCCAACAACCCGGTGGGTCGACCCAATCCGAGTCTGTGTCCAAGACCCTAGACTCGAGTTTGGATCTGTGTTGGGTCCCGTCCGGGTCGACCCGACCTGAACATATATATATATATGTGTGTGTGAAAAAAAAATTTGAATATTTTTTCAAAATATTTTTGTTAGGTTCTACACCTAGAACTGAGTTGGATTAGGTCTGGGTCCATGTTTTGAACCTAATAGGTTAGGTCCAAATCCAAAACCTTGGACGCGAGTTAGGGTTAGGTCCAGGTCAACCCCGACCTGACCAGACCAATTGCCACCCTAATTTCACATCATCATCATCATATTTTAGAATTGGATTTGACTAAAAAGGAATTCATTTCAGTTAAAATGTAGCTAAGCTTTGCACTTCGAAATTGAAATCCCAATATTAGATCACATTGACCCAAGAAAAGGTAATGTGAAAAATAGAAATGTTAAACTGATTCCAAACTTCGCCTGCATTCAACCCGTGGCTATTCAACAAATGGGTCTAGATGCTAGTGACTAGCCATGTTTCATTTTTGGCCTAAAACTGTGGTAAATTATGACTTTTTACTTGGTAAGGCCAGGTATAGGCAGGACCAAGGTTCAATTACTGGGCTCGGGCTTGGGACTCAGGTAACACCAGAGCCGAACGGATTCACCTGGAAAGGGCTAAAATAAAATTAAGAAATTTGTTAAAAATAAAAACAATAAAAAAAAATTAAACTAAATTATAAACAATATCAGAAGTTAAATACAATGAGAAAAATATAAAAGTTGGAGTTTGGAAAAAAAAATTGATTTATAGGTAGAAACAATTAAAAATACAAAAAAGCATAGAAAATACAGCACAAGGAGAACTTACAAATCATCATAAAAAATATCACAATTATATTATAAAAAAGTTAAGCATTCATCGTAAAAATATATACTTTTCCTGATTATTTCATAAATTGAGTCTGTACCTTGAACTCGTCTCGACAAGTTGTCGAGTCCAAGAAACTCTGCCAAGTCAGAATCAACTCAGAGAAGGACTTACACCATGGCCATATGATTACGAATTACACTCAGCCAGATGAGCACGTCAAATATTAGGTCTTATGGGTTAGTACATTTATAAGGTTTAAATTAGATTTAAGTTTTGGCAATCACAAATGGGCATTTGGTCTAGTGGTATGATTCTCGCTTCGGGTGCGAGAGGTCTCGAGTTCGATTCTCGAAATGCCCCCCCAGTTTGCTGCATGTTAAAGTTTTTTTTTGTATAATAAATTTAATTAAAGTATTCTATTAATGCGAGCTATGCTGAATATTACCCCCCATTTGCATGTTAATGGTATTTTTTGTATAATAAATTTAATTAAGTATTCTATTAATGCGAGCTATGCTGAATATTACCCCCCATTTGCATGTTAATGGTATTTTTTGTATAATAAATTTAATTAAGTATTCTATTAATGCGAGCTATGCTGAATATTATATTATTAAAATAAATAAAATTATTCTATGAATGCATATGGAAAAAGTTTGAGGTTCTAAACCATTAAATTAGGAGGCACTTCAAATATTTCATTAAAAGAACTGCTCAAATTCATCATCTCGACCTAAAGATGCATGGACATGAAAAAACATGGATTTTAAGTTTTGAAAATAGTCTTATAATGCATTTTTGGACCGTCAAATTTGAAGATTTTCAAGTTTTCATAGATTTGCTCGATCTACATTATTTTTGAAGCTTTAAGTTTTATAATTGGATATAAACATTTATTTTATCACAAATGTTTCCAGTATTGAAACCACATTTCTCGACACTATTGAAGATGTGTTTTACTTAGGTTGTTTAGAGCCTTGGCTATATGTAAACCACACCTTTTACATATTAGCATCGAGTTAGAAAAAAATAATAATATTAATGTTCAGACCCATTTCTTTTTTTTTCCGTGAATTTATAAAGAACTCTGGTCGATATAATTGGGAAATATAAACCTTTTGAACCCAAATGCTTCCCTTTAAGTCCTTTGTAGGAAAATTAAAGCAATATTGCTATATAATGGAAAATTTCAAAATAAATGGTTTTCCAAATTTTTTTCTCAAGAAATCTTTTTTTACTTTGTGGGGGTAAAGAAGAATTCCGTACTAAGAAGCATGTTCAATATATTTAGGAAAATACTTTTCGACGATTTCAAAGGAAGGGACTTTAAAAATTGAGTGAACCAAACATCTCATTAAAATGTTCAAAAACTTTGTATTGGAGATCTTTTGATCATGATCAGCCGTCCATCTGAATTGGGAGCTGTTATTGATGAGATGTCATCATCGTTGTCATTATCATCATCATCGTTAAAGCCTTTTCTCAATTTACGATGAGATGTATTGTGTATATTTTGGAGAGTAGTGAGGATACTTGTACATCCCAAAGTAAGTTTAGGGGGGAACATTTTACATTTTAATCTTGTATATTTCTTTTGTCTATGTTTCAAATGTTAATACAACGGATGTAATTCCCCCTCAAAACCCTTGCCGACTAGGGGTGGCAATGGAACCGGAGCCAACCCAGGACCTGATGGCTAGACCCGACCCATGTCCTGGTATGGGTTAAAAAATTTGACCCAATGGGTCGAGTCCGGGTCCAAATCTTGGACCCAAATACCATTTGGGTCCGGGTCCTACATTAGAATTTTTGGGCCGGGGCCAATCGGGACCCACCCCGACCAGCTGCCACACTTATCGCCGACTTAGCAGAAAAAACAAACTGGGCATAGTTTGATTCTACTTAGAATTTCTTTGGCATGACTTGGCTTGGCTTGGGCTCTATTAAATAGCATTCAAATAATGGAGGATAATCTTTAGGTTAATAAAACATACATTTCATGGGCATTATTTTAATCTTGAAAATATCTTATGGATTAAAAATTAGATATCTTATAGAAACTCCTTTGATTTGGATTCTATCTTCACAACAAGTACAAAACAATATAAAGAAACGACTTGCATAGGGTTTCTCTTTCATTTATTCAAGACCATGAAGATGTAAACATTCAATAATGGAAAGTAATCACTTAACAGTAAATAATAATATTATTATATATTGAGGCCATGTTTGGACAAATGAATTGTTTTGTCTCCATTAGTAGTACTGATTCCACTTGTTCATGACCATCAAAGAGCACCTATTTTCATTGCATATGAAGAGAGAGCTTCAATAATATTACAAGCTTCAGTTATATTACTAAGACATCCAAATGGAGCTTAAAGTTTTAACACCCACGACCACACCCATCCCATACATTTCAGGATCATCTTGTACAGTTGCGTATCTCTCTTTAAACTGGTTGTAATCTAAGGTTGCTTACTAGGTCACTATAAATGAGAAAAGGCTTTCGGTTTGGGTGGTCAGAGTAGCAGATCCGCAACATGATGCGAGAGGCTCCATACCAACTAAGGCGTCTAAATTACCTGGTCCGGATCCTAAACCCAAAATTCGGATCATATTCGGATCCAAGTATGGATCTAAGAGTTGGATTCGAAATTCGGATCTATATCCAAAATCTAGATCCGAATAGTAATTTGGGTCAGATCCAGGTATAAGTGGATCCGATATAAATGTATGTTATAATTTATACATTTATTAATTTATAAATATAATATGTATAATTATTTCAACTTTTATAATTATATTTTAAATTTATGATATGCAAAATTGGAACAGATCCGGATCTGAATTCGGATCTGGATCCTATATATAGTTTATGATCGGATCCATATCTAAATATTCTGAATCTAATAAATACTCTTTGGATCCAGATCTGGATCTGGGTGGATCTAAACCTGATCCGAAAAATTCTAAGCCCTAATACAAACTCAAGTCAAAAATAAAATAAGGGAGTGGATTGATGTTTAAATTGGACTTGCTTATTTTTGCAGTTGTGTTATTTTATTATTATTGTCTTTTTGGAATGCTGAAGTCTTGAATTATTGTCGTTGTTTTCCTGTCATTGTCTCCTTTGTTGTTACTTGATATTTTCCTTATCATCAATAATAGCCCATCATCACAATATTTCAACGAGGCCCTCTTCGGATTCATCACTCCCCTCTGTTTATATAGAGAAGCCATAATCTTTGCACACATGAGCTTTTGTAGTAAAAAAAAGGGGCTTTGAGGAAGGGAGAATCAAAGGTGACAGGTACTTTGAGGAGCTTTTGTTTATATAGAGAAGCCATAATCTTTGCACACATGAGCTTTTGTAGTAAAAAAATGGGCTTTGAGAAAGGGAGAATCAAAGGTAACAGGTACTTTGAGGAGCTTTTGTAGTCAAAAAATGGGCTTTGAGGAAGGGAGAATCAAAGGTGACAGGTACTTTGAGGAGATAGTGTTCCCTAAGACTCTCCTCCCCTCTCATATGTCTGAAAGGGGCAACACACATTTGGCTGATGCTGTCAAGGAGAACCGTGAGTGGCTAGATGAGCAATTGAGTCGTCATGGTGCCATACTCTTTCAGGGGTTTGACGTGTGCTCCGCAGAGGACTTCTCTAGTGTGGTCGAGGCATTCGGGTGGGAAGAAATGAGTTACGAATTTCGGCGGCGCCGTGCGTTCGAAGATTGCGTCTCGCGTCTACACCGCCAATGAGTCTCCGCCTGAAATGTTCATTGGCTTCCATCATGAGATGGCCTATGTGAGCTCCCTCTCTCTGTCTTTCTCTCATACACATATATTTACAACAGTATAGATAAACTTATTTTGAAAAATGAGCATAATGTCCCTAACTTTTGCCTGACTGATATTGTAGAGAAAAGAATTTGCTTCTAAGGTCTTATTCTTCTGTTTGGAGCCACCACCAGAAGGTGGTGAGACCTCCATAGTTCTTAGCCATGTAATTGTCAAGAAAATGGAGGAAGCCATGCCTGAATTTGTTGCAAAATTGATGAAATTTGGAGTTGTTATTCAACAAATAACCCCCAAGGAGAGCACTTCTGAGAAAGCCCCCAGGAAGACATGGCAACAACTACTACAGACTAAGGACAAGGCTGAAGCAATAAAACTGTGAGGCATTTAAACTCTTTAAACTCTCTTTCCCTTTCAAAACAACTTAAAGTTAAAATAGCTTAATGGAAAATGCAATGGGATCCTTCAAATTTGATACAAGGATATGTAATAGGACAAGTAGGGATATGCCATTAATGTTTTTAGGATCATATACTAGATGGCTACTTATATGGATTAATGCAATTCAGATTTGGATCAATCTCCCACTCTAAATCTTACTTGAAAATATTATCAAACACTTCAAATACTTATAATCCAGTCATAACAACCATATGCATATATCTAAGACTACGAATCAATGTCCAATCTATCATCATTTGTTTCATGTTTAGCCTAATCATAAATGATACCAAAACAAAGAAATGTGGTGCATGAAACAAACTCATCAGTATACATAAACATATGCTTGTAAAGAATAGGTAAATCCACACTTTTACAATATCAATAGCTTGTTAATATCTTGCTAGAAATTCTGGATCATAAATATATTAATAGCAATATGAAAAGAGAAAGAAATAGAGAGATCATGGGAAAAAGATAAATTCACAATAGATGATTAAGATGTCTTTTTACAAGGCAATGGATGCACCTTTGAGCTCAATAACCTTTAAATATTGGGTGAGAGAAAGAGAGAATTACGATGTTGAAAGAGAACGAGAGGTGCACCACACTACACTACCCAAACGCTATCTCAATGGCTATTTTGCTTCAACGGTTCAAAAAAAATTGAATGAGTTTTCTAAAACTTGGACTAAAAAGGGAAATGTAAAAAATGGGACGTTGCTGTCGTTTGCAAGATGGTAATAAAGAATAATTTTGTTTTTTACAAAAGTGTCCAATAAGGCATGGAGAAAACCCCCATGCCCAAAGATTTGCACTTAAAAGTCAGAAACTTTTCTCAGACTTTGTGTCAAAAAATGACACACCTGTATCTACCCGATTTCACATTTGAACATTTGAAAGCTAGGTATGATTGTGTACTTTTTTTTTTTTTTTTTTTTTTTTTTTTAGGAAAAGCACCCTTCCATTTGGATTTGGGCCTATCCAAAGGCTAAGACTTGAGTTTTGCTTTTTACTTCTTATTTACATTAGAATAATGGCCTAGATGCATTTTTATAAAGATCAAAATACCCCATAAATATTTAGGGATATTTTGGTTAACTTTTTAAATTTGAATCATTTCTTTTCACTATTTTATTACGCACTCTGTAAAGATGCTTTTAGGCCAAAATACCCCTAAAACATTTAGCAGTATTTTTGTCAAATCTTTAGATATGTATTACTTAGTCTTTATTTTCATTATGTGTTTTATCCATGTGTTTTGGAGCAATATTTTAGTCCAAAAAAAATCTCTCTATCCCTGTGTATTGGAGCTTGTTTTATACAGTTATAAGCCCATTGCCTTATAATAGTCATTCGTGGGAACTAGTGTTTGGGTTATTAGACAAGAGAAAGCTTTTTATGTTCCCCTACAACATAGAAGTTCTATGTTCTCCCTACCATCCAGCCGTCACATTTTTTATCAAGAGAGCCATTCACTGTTTGATTTTAGATCCGACGTCTCAAAATATTTTATTTTTAATTTTTTTAATGCAATTTTTTTAATATGAAATTTGGTACGTGTCATCTTCTCATTGGGACGCACGTATAAAAAATATCAACAATAATTTTTCGATAAAAATAATGACCAAAATACCTCTTGAATCTTTCAGGGGTATTTTGGTCATTTTATTTTATTGAAAATATTTTTTTTATATTTTTTCGTTAGTGCGAGTTTAATATAGGAATAGATGTCCAAAATTTAGTGTCAAAACAGTTTATGGAAAAAAAATTAAAAATAAAACAGTATAAAGATGTGACATTGTGATTAGGACAATCTTAACCCTCCATTAAAAAATAGACGGTTGGATAAAAGGGAGCATAGAACTTCTATATTATTGGGGGAACATAAAAAGCTTTTCCATTAGAGAATACTTTTTCTTCTTTGCAAAGTACATATTTTGAACATAAACTTTAATCCACTAAGACCTATAAACTTGAGATCCAAACTTACTCTCAGACTCCCCAAATGTGAACTTTTTTATTTATTTTTATGTGACATAGAGCTCAGCTGAAGACTGGTTGCAACTCACTAAATTTCTTAGAGGATGGAGCTGCTGAATTCATTTTTGGGCCCTTGAATCCAATAAGAAAAATTAAAGGGAGGAGGGTTTGGTTCAACACAATTGTAGGGTACAGTGGCACACTTGATGACATGAGTGTGAGCTTTGGAGATGGGAGTCCTTGCCCTCCTGATGCCCTCACAACCTACCAAAAAATCCTTGATGACAACCATGTCAATAGCAGTTGGCAAAAGGGTGACATCCTACTTGTGGACAACCTTTGTGTTCAACATGCTGGGAGGCCTCCTCGAGTCATTTTAGTTTCATTATGCAAGTGAATTACTCCGTGTTCAACATGCTAGGAGGCCTCCTCGAGTCATTTTAGCTTCGTTATGCTAGTGAATTATCCTCTCTCTCTCTCTCTCTCTCTTCTAAACATTGCAAATGGCTTTAGGCTCTCTCTCTCTTGGTTTCAAGCAATGGTTCACAGCCTTGAATGAAATATAGGAGAAAATCACATATAAAAAATAAAAAAAAGTATATAATGAGACCATTTTTGCAAGATGGTCACAATTAATGTTGACCATTTCACATCAAATGATTTATAAATAATTGTGATATTTTTGTATCAAAGGTAAATAGTCTTATTGTATACAATCCCATCAGATATTCATCAACCAAGGTGTAGCTATATTGGATTTAGTGTTATCCAAAATCACCCATGAAAGAAAATCCTATTATGTGGGATTGAGATTTATATTGATAAGTTTTTTAATAAAAATATAAATCTAAAAAGATTAGAACTCTTCGATATTTTTTTATCATGTGGGATTGTTATTAACAAATTAGATATTATTTCTTGGGATAAGGTCTTATTATATTAATATGGTCTTCAAAGTCCAAATTTAATGGGATAAAGTAAGAAGTCTTAAAAATTATAAAAAAGAAGAGCCCCGTAGCAGCCACTTTTTCTATTTAAAGTGACTATTGGAGAGAGAGATAAAGGGGGGGCAAGGCCACTTGTGCATGAGTTACGAGGTTTTTTTTTCAGAGATGAGAGATTTCTATAAAGAGAAACATTGCGATGGTGTCTCGATAGAACCACAGGTTTGTTTATTGTATGGAAGCATTATCCATGAAGATTTTAGATGGTTTACCCTTTTAGTTAGAAAGAAAGTCTGTTTTTAATTGTTCTTGCGTCTCTATTTAGTGTTATTATATTTTTATCTGGTGTTGTCGGTGAATGAAGTGAGACTGGTTTAAAAAAATTTGGTCAACTTGGTTTTTGTTAACGTTTAGAAAGGTAACTCTATATTCTAAAATGTTTTATGTAACTTTTATTATTTTAGTGGATTTCAGTTTGTCATTAATCTGGATGTAGATTTTCTTGGGCGAACACTTAAGTCTTTGTGTTATTGTGATATGTCTTTTATGTTTTATTTCTTGTATTTTATTTGTCAAATATTAACCCATCGAATTTAAAGGTTCGGTGCTGGGCTTGAATTTTGGATTCTTTGGGCCATAGAATCCACCGCTCCTCGGCTGAGCCCTTATGATTTCTGGACCAAACAGTTCAATTAGCAAAGCCTTCGTCTGATTCATCAAACATTGATGGAAAAGCTTTTGTCCAAATAAATTTGTTTTGACCAACAATCGCTTGTCATATGACATGTCTCGTTGCTCTCCTTAGTGGAGAGCATTATAATTAAGAGAAAAACCCTACTTTTTTGGTTGAGAGATGAAAGTTTGGGGGCTTAAAAGTAGGAGCAGCAATGGATCCGCACCTGACCCGATCGGACCCAAGACCCGATCCGGATCTAAAAATTGGAACCGGCGAGTCGAGTCCGGTCTAAATTTTGACCCGAAAACTATTTAGGTTTGGGTTTGAATTCAGGCCGACCTGGACGCAACCCAACTTGTTCCCACCCCTACTTTGCCAAATCCAGACTCGACCTAAACGGACCCCACCATCACCCTAGTTAAAAGAGACTTTGGGTATTGCATCATAGAGGGAGAGAGGGTGAATTTCGGTTGTTTTGTCTTGAGGTGCAAGAGAGAGGGATGAGCAACATGCTGTAATTTAACTTTTCAAAGTTTGTTCTATAAGTTAACAAGAGGAAAGATAAATGGGATTGTATACAATGAGACTGATTTATCTTTGATACAAGGAGGTTACAATTACTTATAACTATTCAATGTGAAATCTGATAGCTTGGGTGTGTCTCGCTCAAAGTTCAATAACTTTTTTTTTAGTTTGAGCTTGGTCATTAGTATAAGTGCAGCCGTCTAATGATCAAGATTAATTTGTAACCACTTTATGCCAAAGATAAATGACCTCATCGTATATTTTTCCAAGATAAACGGACCTTTTTTAAAAGAAACGGTAAAAAGACTCCAATACACAACAATAATGGACATTCCCCTTAAATTTAAGATATGAATTTTGAATAACTCATCTCTGATGGATATTTCAATAAATTATCAACAAAAATTATATACGCAGGCTCCTAAGACAAACCTTATTCAAGATTACTCTAGGGCAATCCACGGGTATCTTGAGGACTTTTTTTGAAGCGCAAAAACTTCGTATTGAAGAGTATTCATAGGGCTATTCGAAGGTGTCTTATGAAATTTTTTGAAGAGCAAAAGCTTCTAATGAGCGAAGGTGATAGGGAAAAAACTAGGAAAAATTATTAAAATCCCTTAATTCAACTTTCTAGTCGACCTCTTCTAATACTTTTGATATCTCTCTATAAACCCCAATATTGTTTTCTTTCGCTACAACCCCAAGTCAAAAACATAATTTTGTTGGAACAAAATACCCCCCTTTGACCCATTTACGTCACCTTTTTTGCCTTTTTGGGTGTTGGACAGAAAAACGAGTTCGGTACGGCATAAAACACTACCGAGCCAATTTTAGATCGGCACTATGAAAATGTGGTATAAGGCGGAGAAAGAGGTATTTTTATTATAAATTTGTTGACTTTTTGACTTGAAAGAAATCGTGAAAAATAAAAAAATTGTTGGGGTTTGAAACGTAGAATCAAGGAAGTTTCGATGATTTTCCCAAAAACATATTGAAAAGTACAGTGAAGAATACTCAGGATCAGGACAATGATTTTCCCAAAAACATATTGAAAAGTACTTTATGACAACTTAGGACCAGGACAAATATAAAAAAAAGGGGCATTCCGAGAATTGAACTCGGGACCTCTCGCACCCTAAGCGAGAATCATACCACTAGACCAAATGCCCTTTTGATAGAAAGCTTTTTCTTCCAAAATTCTATACAATAAAAAATTGATACCTGCTCTCCTTGCAGGCGCAAACTAATCTGTATTTCACCAGTATAAAACTTAGATGGAAAAAGCTTAAGCAAGCTGGCCATGTTGCCCAATTATTTCACCAATTATTGCATGTTAAGAGCTTGTTTAGATAATAATTAATTTTATCGGAAGTGAATTAGTTTATTTGAAATTAATATATTGTACATAATATTATTTCGTTAGTTTTGTTTTGGTAAATCAAAGCATCACATGCTGTAGGGCACAAAACTTTTTTTTTTTTGGTATTTAGCTGCATAATCAAAATTATTTTGTTAGTTATTTTATTCATATTGTATTATCATCATTATCATAGCATTTTTCTAATTAATTGAAATCGGCTACACGAATCATAGTCCGTTATTCTGCTCTATTAAATATCATACATTCAGTGAGATCATAAGTCCTCATATCTTTTCGGACTGCTTCCAACCACGTCCATTTGATTAGTATTGTATAATCAAAATTATTTTCACTATTTCAACTCATGATAATATGTGTATTTTGATGGCCTTTTAAAAATTACATAAAAAAAACGTAAAATAATAAATTGTTCATCTCTCAGGGGTATGTTGATAAAAAAAAATTTATTTTAATGTATGGGAAGCAATTTGCCGAGGTTTCCAAGCATGAGAGAAAACTGACAATTGGCCCTGACTAGCTAGAGTCGACTAAATATTACCTTTTTCTTTTTGCTCATGGTAGAGGTATTAAAAGCAAATGGAGAAATATAAAATGCAACATTTATCTCAGGAAGGTCGGTCACTTTAAGTCATTTGATGTTGAATTGGGCAGCTCGGGTTGTGCTATTAATTGAGTTCAAAGTTCAAAAAAAAAAATTTAAAAAAAAGAAAGAACTTTGTCGCATCCTAAACTATCATATCTTACGACCTGTAGTGATTGTGGCCCCTTTATACCAACTTGAAAAACCTTTGTATAGTTTGTTATTTCCCATGCTACAGCACGACATCCATAATTTTATTTTCTCCAAGGCTCCAAGTTAACATTAAAAAAACAAAAATTACAAAACTAGAATCTATTTATAAGATTTTTTAAACTTAACAAAAAAAATGATTTTTTTGCAAGATATTCCATTATGTGCCTTAAAACTTTTTAAATTAAAACCTCCCATTTTGAGGCCTGCCTAGTGCCCCAGTTTTAGTAATGTATGCGCTTCAGGGCCTCTGGCTTGGTAAAAGGGTTGGCAATCAACTTAGGTGAACCCGGGTGGAGCCGACTCGAGTTTGGGTCTAAGACTATCAAGTCCAATTGGATCCATATCAGGCCAAGCTATTCGACCTGAAATTTGTATATATAACTAGTATTTGGGTATGGTTTGTATAAGGTGGCAACTTTAAACAATCAAATTAATGTGTATTTACAAAAAAAAAAATTTAATATAATTTTGGTGTAAACATTTCTTGATATGGCTTGATTATATATTTTTATATGTAATTATAAATTTATAAACTTAAAAATGGCTCAAAACAAGTAGATCTATAAACACATGAAAATAGATGGTCCAGATAATGTGTTGCAAGATCTATTATTTTTTGGACTCAATATCTTTTTCTTTTCATATTCATTCATCTCAACACAGAGATGATCAATTAGAGGATTTTCCAACGTCAAAACAACCTTTTATGATGGATTTATGATATACACTTTAATTCTACATTTTAAAGTTGCAACCTTATATAAACTATTTTTTCTAATATTTGTATATATTTGACTGAAAACCATTTATATATTAAAAAATTTTAAGTTGAAATGTTTCTTATTCAGACCTGGACCCTTGTATTCGGCCCTGATCCGATCACAGTCGGATCTGGGTTCAACTAGTTCAACCCGGACCCAACCTGACCGATATGCACCCTATCCTAATAAGGGTAATTTCGTCCGTTTCTCAAACTTTTGGGCCTTCTAGACATTATCTCATAGTAAAGGACAACACACGTAAATAAGGGTGCGGTTTGTATAGAGCCTAGGTTCTAAACAATCAAATTAGAGCGTACCTTCAAATAGTATCGAGACATATAATTTCAATATTGATAATTTTTGTGATAGCTTTAAAATATATTTTCATCTTCTTTTATAAAGTTTAAAGCTTCAAAAATAGTGTAGATCGACGGATCTATGAAAATCTTGAAAATTGACGGTCCAAAAATATGTTATAAAATATACTATTTTCAAAACTTGAAATCTATTTTTTTCTTATGTCAATACATTTTGATGTCAAGATGATCAATTTGAGGATATTTAAGCATAAAAAAAAAAAGCCTCTTCTAATGAAATTTTTGTGGTAGATTCCAATTTGATTGTTTAGAGCCTCGGTTCTATATAAACTTTTCCCATAAACGGTAAATAAACCCTCGATAGTTTAGTAATTTTTATTCAAAACAAAAAATAAAAGAAATAATACACGTGGAGGAATTTGAAGTCAATCAAATCCAAAGCCAGGCATCAGCCACAACAAGCTGCTAACTCCCCTAAATAAAGTAAAAATACAAAATAATTATTTTTTTTATTCATAGGGATTTTTTGGAACTTCTTTTTCAAAAACCCATCTTTTGCCCTTTTTTTTTTCTTGTTCCACTGGTTTGATGGCTGCTTCTGCACAATCTCTTTTTTCTGCAAATTTTCATGTTTTTTCCAACAATGGAATTATTCAAAAATTTCAAAAAGTAAGGAAAAATGGTGGCAATTTCGTTGTGAAGGTTTCTTCTGATTCAGCAGATGACTGCAATGTGGAAGAATGTGCACCAGATAAAGAGGTAAGTTGGTATTGTTAACTCTCTGCTTTCTCTTTGAGTTTTGAATTTAATTTGGGTTTTTAAATTTTTTGATGAATTTATCAGGTCTGGTCTTTCCTTTCTTTTGAATTTGCAGTTAGCTGATAGTTTTACTTTCTTCAATGAAGAATTACTGGAGGCTTTTTGGGTTTTTATAGAGCTTAAATACATGGTTTTTCTTCTTTTATTTATTTGAATTTATTATTTGTTATTATCATTGATATACTTTTTGAGTTTTTGAAGAACTCTCATTGCATATTGCATATATCTCAATTATCAAATTACTATTACTATTATTGCAAAGTTTAAGGCTCTTTCCTATTCTTCCTCTTTTTCTTTTATATGCTTCTTTTGCAGATAAATCCAAATACTGTTTTTTTCCCTGTATTCCTCAAGAATATTTAACTGGATATTAATTACATTTATTTATTAAAGTGAAGAATCTATTTATTTTTTTTAAATATATTTTTCTTTTTGTTTGGGGGAAATGTTAAACCTTTTTTGGTGGGCAGCAGTTATCAAGGAACAGGATTTGCCATGAATTAGGATTTTTATGATTACTTTAAGTAGTAAGAAATGAAAATTAGGTTTATTGGGACTGATATTATAGCTCATTTTATTGAAAACTTATATATTGTCTTAATTCTGAATTAAAACGAATATTTTTTGGTTCTTATTCAGTGTTCTAGGGGCTGGATTTATTTAATTCATCTCTTTTAATTTAAACGAGTTGTACCATTTGAAATTATGAATCAAAGAGAATCATATAGGTCTCTAATTGCTTGTTTATGCTTCTTAGGAAGTTAAGTTATTTAAGCTGTGAATGCAAACCGCTTCATACTCTGCCTAGTACTTTATCGCATGTAGGTTAGTGTACTTTCTTCACCATGTAGATTGCTGTTAAGTATTTGTGGCCCCTATCTTTTCAATGTAGAGTTACTTTAGCTTTGTTCTTTATGCACACTAATACATAATTTCTTTCTGATGTGTCTAATGGGTTTACCATTTTATGTTTTTGTAAATATTGGTTTTCTCGGTAGGTAATTTGCATTCTTTTAACAGTAATCCTTCATGGAGTGTTTATTTTATCCTTGTTTTACTCCACTAGTTTGGTGCCTGTATTGGATAAACAATGCTTTGGATAGTGAAAAAGAGAAGTTTTGGAGTCTCATGCAATAGGAAATACTAATGCGGTACCCTCAACAAACTACCCCTTTAAAAGGAAAACAGAGGAAGAAAACCGGTTAACAGCATAAAATAAATAGCGCAGGTTTCCAACTTTAAAAATAGAAAGAAACTCAAAAGAGAATATAGAACCCCAACAAACCCTTGTTTGGACCAAGGGCCTTCAAGTATTCTAGCCTACTGTAGTGTCCGAAACGTGTTTGTCTTCAATTGTTTCTGTGTGAGAAGGATGTTTTTGTCGTTCATTCCCTTGGCGATACGAGTGCTTTCTTCTTCTATTTCATTTACATCCTTCGAAGCCATATTCATTTCCTCGATAGCTTAAACAATTTTCTCCCATTGTCACGATGCAAGTGCAACTTTGTCAGATATGGTTGGGCAATGCCTGTTCAAACTTTATTTACTTCAACAAGTACTATACCTCCCTAGTAGTATATGGCTTATAAATAATGTTAAAGGATATAAATAAATGTGCCTTTTCTTCTCTAATGATCTCCTTGTTGCATGGAACGAAGAGTGGACAATTCTAAGTAAAAAAATTTGTAGTTGAGGATCTGGTGGTGACAAATGCCACCAATTGTGCCATGTAGTTACTGGAAAGACTTACAAGCAGCAAACTGATTTTTATTGGAGAAAATCCATAGGTTAAGATGTTCTGGTTCTTAACAGTAAACTTCCAAAAGTATTTATCATTAACCTCAATCAGTCTCATAGAGTTTTTGTTGCTCCCATTAGGCGCATTGAAGAATAATTTAACAGATACATTTTACATAAACATGCCTCAATATTAATTATGAGCTGCAAGGTATACAGAAATCTTATAGGACTAAAATTCATAACCCTGAATTCCCCTGCCCCCTCCCAAAATTAATTTTTTTTATGTCTGAAGAAACTTTGCCCACAAGATTAACCTGTTATACCTGGTTATCGTAAGGGACACTTTGTTGATCACTGAACAATATTGGAAGGGAAAGTATACCATACGCCACTGGTGTATGGTATATGTTACACCTTGTGCTTATCCTTTGCACGTCCTTGATGACAGATGGTGGAGAGTAACTGTTTTCCTAATGGCAAATATTCACCTAGATACAGTTACTATCCAGGCACAGTCATCCTGAATGGACACTGGATGTCGTGTGCTGACACCAGACACCCTAAAACCCCTGATTTATAAAGTCGTGGGAGGCAAGGCACACAGGGGGATAGG